ATCCCATTGAGCACGTCTGGGACCTGTTGGATCGGAGGGTGAAGGCTAGGGCCATTCCCCCCAGAAATGTCCGGGAACTTGCAGGTGCCTTGGTGGAAGAGTGGGGTAACATCTCACAGCAAGAACTGGCAAATCTGGTGCAGTCCATGAGGAGGAGATGCACTGCAGTACTTAATGCAGCTGGTGGCCACACCAGATACTGTTACTTTGTTCAGGGACACATTAATCAATTTCTGTTAGTCACATTTCTGTGGAACTTGTTCAGTTTATGTCTCAGTTGTTGAATCTTGTTATGTTCATACAAATATTTACACATGTTAAGTTTGCTGAAAATAAACGCAGTTGACAGTGAGAGGACGTTTCTTTTTTTGCTGAGTTTAGTACCATTGTTCAACCCTTATTGTACACTTTATTCCACCTTCCAATATTTAATGGATTGTACTTGTTACGTTCCCCAGCAAGAAAATCAGAAATTGTCGCTCAAACAGAAAGGGGAACTAACAAAGAGTCACTGACCAACAGCCAAAATGAAACACGCAGGGTTTTAGGAGGGGTTCTGAAAGACACACATGGGGGTGTCCACTGAAAGTTGACTAGCAACAACAACTGGAACCTAAAAAGACACTCACCATGAGCACCCACTAAATGTGCCCAAGAAGAGGCAAACAAAAGAAAAACCCACACCAAACTTAAAGACAGGAAGCAAACCAAAAAGGCGAAGATAAAGGATTGTTTGTCTAGAACTCAAACTAGAGAGCCAACTAAAGGTGTTGACTCTCCACATCTCTCAAGACAACTGGAGCACTGGGCCAGCCACTCTTAAATTGCACCTGGGCCAGCACAGGTGAAACACCTTCCCACTAACGAGATGGCAACCAACACAGGTTAACACATACTGACTAACGAGGTACATCAATTGGTGCGCCTTACGCGCTAACGCGCTATACGTGCTAAAGTCCAACCTCAAAACATAAATGGAAAAACCAAAGCCTGTAACAAACTTGACTATGGCAACTCTTAAGATGAATCAAAACACTTTTTTTTTTCATCAATATATTTTGTGCGTAAAGACTCTCCAAACCTGTTTTTTTATTCCTACATAACCATGAAATAATCTACAAAATCTGAGTATTTTAAAATCTACCAGTTGGAGCTGAAATGGAGACGAATATGCATATATTTAGATGGCTTTCTTTCATCGACCCCTATATTCTGAACCCATTCTCTCTATGTATTCTAGTGAGTCTGTTGACAAAATTCTAATTAAACGTACACTGTATTGAAAGGGATGGCTTAAGATAAATGTACTGAAATCCCTATTGAATGAAAACTTAAAGAGAAAATATGTTTGCCAGCAAGTGGGAGGGATTTCAGCAGTTGAATTAAATGTATTCAATGCGCCCAAGGTAGCCACACCTGTAGAGCGCATTATGAGCCTGCAGTAAGTAAGTCTGAATACCAACTACTGAGAAGTGCGTAGGAAAGGCGTACATTTCCTAAGTCTGAATCGGCCCCTTATAGCCCATACGTCGCCAATGGCTGCCGCCCTGTCTCCGTAGAAGTTAGCCATGGCTAATATTGTAGCCCCCTCTATGGGAAAGCCAACACTTTGTCTGGGTGTGGTGGTCAGGGTTTAAGAAGATAGAGATAATCTCTAAACCAGAAAGTTATATATTGCAATCATCCCTGGGGTGCAGTTTAATAAAATAATATATGAATACCTCAGCAAAATAATACATGTGATATCAATAAATTCACAGAATGTCCACAATAATATGCCATTTAGGAGACGCTTTTATCCAAAGCGACTTAGTCATGCGTGCATACATTATTATTTTTTGTGTATGGGTGGTCCCGGGGATCGAACCCACTACCTTGGCGTTACAAGCGCCGTGCTCTACCAGCTGAGCTACAGAGGACCACAATATAATACAATTATGTACAGTTCTAGAATTGTGTTTTTCGAAAGGTACATTGGTCTTGTTTGCTAGACTCATGGAGCTCCATGCAGAGGCTGTGGGAAGAGACTAAAGGTACAGTAACTTCGTAGTATATACGTTGCAAGGAAATCTCAGGGGAATGAAGAAGAATATGTCTATGTCTGTGTACTGAATCAGTGTGTGGTCTTAAAATAACAACTTCTTTCAATCTCAGTCACTAATTTCTGGAAATAGTTTTTCATTGTATTAGGGGTTGCTTTGAACTTCTGTGTATAGGGAACACTCTAAACTCTCTCCAGTCTCAATGTGCAACCTCCTCCTTGGAGTGTGTTCACCCCACCCTGCCCTCTCCAGGACTGTGTATAACCAGCCCACAGGACAATGGAGAGCGGCTGAGCCTTGGTGCTGATAACAGTGAGCTATAGCCAGTGTGGATATCCGGCCACCACCATCGCCTTTCTCTCTTTCTCTACACCCTATAATGAAGGGTGTATGGCTCTGCGGTTAAACTCTGCCACTCTTTCTTTCCTCCAATCCTACAGGGCTCTTCTTGGCCTTTTCTGTTCTTCCCTCTATTCGGTGGAAAAAGCTAAATGTTTTCCCCCACTTTTCCCTCCAAGCCCTCTCAGGTTACAGGGGCATGAGAGAACACGATGAGTGGAAGAAGGCGCCATCGAGTCACAGGGGTGGGGGTGCAGTGCACTCTGAGATTCTCAGAGCAAGACAAGTCAACACTTGGTTATTGAGGGTGAGGGAATTAAGATTTACTCTAAAGAATGTAACTGTAAATGTCTACTCTTAACAATCGCTGGCCTTCCAACTTGACTTGAATAAGGGCTTGATTCAATCCGTATCGCTGATATAGAGCGGTATAGAGCGATTGAAATGTAAAGGTCATTTCCAATTGAGGCGACATATGCAGCATGGCTAATGCAGTCTCTGTGAACACGGGAACATTGCCTTTATAAATTTCAATCGTGCCAAACCGCGGATCTTCCGCAATACGGATTTAATCAAGTCTTTATTATTTTTAGCTCCTAGAGGAGCAAAGGGCCTCAACAGTGCACCTCCAGCGAACCCTGTTCTGGGCAGTTTTCCTAACTTAATTCCAGGCCCTACAACTAGACACATCATTCCCCCACCCCTCCTATAGACTGACTGGCAAAAATATAATACATTTTAATTAAAGTTGAATTAATTTGGCGATACTTTAATCAACTCAGTTTATTATTATTTTTTGCTGTATGTTGCTATTAATGTTATTGCTTTGCTTATATGAATAAAGTGCCATTAACTATATGAACACAGCCATTATCAATCACAGTTGATAATAAATCAACACTGATTACCTACATGTTTACATAAATCAACCGTTCACTCTGCTAAATTAATTATTATCTGATCAAATCAATCAACTAATCAGCTGACACCAACAAAAACTGATAATTGTCTGATATTCCAATATAGCCATTCTCAGACCTCTTTGTCTCTCAAGGACATGACAAGATACCAGAAACTAGTAACTTTTGACTGAATAGTGCGATTACACAAAATAGAAATTACCACAAACACTTGTTTTTCCATCTTTTATTTTGCAAATGCGGCAAGAACACTTGCAAAGAACATCTTAAACTTGGTCCAGTAGAAAAGAAATACTTGAATGATTTAACACTTTTGTTTTTCAGCTTTGAAACCCTCTGGTGCGAATTTGGAGTCTATCTTTAAGTCTAAATTAATTAACAGATTGCTAGTGGGTAGTTCCAAAATCATTTTTCTTTTCAATCATTTATAAATATCCAGAAATCATATCATATCAAATGCAAACCTAAGATTGACTGGATAGAAACTGCATCATCTACATAAAGGGATTAGCAGACAATAAAATGTACAGTACTTTCAAACACCCACTACTAAAAATAGCTTTGTTTCTGTTACCTCTGAAAGATCATTTTAAATTACGATAATAAACATAATGGATTATTTATTATCAGCATCATTAATAGCATTATTTATTTCTTACTATTATTATTATTTTTATTTTATTTTTACATCTTTTTGATTTCATAAAAAAAAAACATAAATCAATAAATTAACATGCTACCTCTTTCCCTGAAAGCCAATACTCCACTGTGTCATTGAATGAGAGTGAGAGTGTGTGTTTTTGTGTGTGTGTGCCTATATGTGTATATTTGCGCATGCCTATATTTGTGTGTGTGTGTGTTTAAAAGAACACAACTGAACAGAAACATAACCTGGGTGATGACACACCTGTCTCAAACCCAAAGAGGGAGGAGGGGAGAGGAGAGGGGGAATTATTCTGGAGTCAATACAAAAAAATAATTCACTGTAAATATATAATATATATTTATACATATTTGAATATATTTACAAATATACCCAGCACTATATAATGTGTATTATTTTTCTCCATAATAATAATAAGTGTGTGGGCTTATCAAGATAAGGTAAAAAGAAACAAGACAATATTACAAAATATAAGAGGCAGTGTCTGTATGCGCTCTTCTCCTATTCATCTGTATTTGTTAGTTGATGCTTTCTTTCAGTCCTTTCAGCTTCCTATTTTGTCGTCCTCTTTATGAGTCCCTTGTTTTTTCAGTTCATCACGGTCCATATTTTCCCTCTGGGAACAAACAAAAGTCTTGGAATGCCAGCCAACGGAGTGGAATCATATAACGCAAAAATAGTAAATTCCAAACTCTCGTGGAAAACAAATAAAACGGCAAGAGAGGAGAGGAGGGGGACCCTTGGGATCAGCTATTCATTCAGTCAGTCAAGAGGAACACTGATGAAGGGTCACTGTCCTCTCCTTAAGACATTGAACATGTGTATGAGTGTGTGTGTACAAACGTGTGTGTGTGGTTCTAAAAGCAGCGCTGCCACGAGCCCAGTCCCATCTGGGTCCGTTAGTCCATTGGGAGCCAGAGGTTTGGGGGGTTGGTGGTGGGGGTATATCTCATTTTCTCTCTATGGAAGTGTCTCTTTGTGGGGGGGTCAAGTCAGGCTGGGGCTGGATGGGGGGATTGAGGAGGGGAGGGCTCATGTTTTGACACCCCCATTGATGTGCTGGTACTTCGGGAGACAGGGCTCGTCTGGTAGGGGGTCATGGGAGAACACGGAGTCGTCACCGGAGGAACAGGAGCTGCGTGTGTCCTGGAAGCTGGGAGAATACTGCTCCGCTGGGGCACACAGGTCCAGATACTCCTACACACAGACAGAGTGAGAGGGAAGAACTATTACACTCACAGGTTTAGAGGAGAGTGAGAGAGGAGAGAGAGACAAATGGAAAATACTGAAATAGAGACAGGCATGAAGACAGTTTCAGGAGGACAGTGACGGACATGCAGAGAGGATCTTGTGGAGAGTATCATCTTCATTATTTTATTTATGTAAACTATAAACTATCACGCTGGAAGGATTTATGAAAAATGTTGGCGCCAGGAGAGAAAACGATTTTAAATCCATATGAAAATATGTGGATGAATAATACTTCTTAAATGGTGCGTGGGCTGGAGAGAGGGGAACTTTCCAGCACAGTTCACATAGAGCAATGCTGACCTGGTTGCTGTTAGTCTCAGTATAAAATGGTTCAATGTGTCTGGGTGGGCAAGGGAGAGCACCCAGACAGAGAAAGCGAGAGAACGTGAATGAGAGAACAAGAAAGAAAGGGAGGGGGGAGACCAGAGAGAGAGAAAAGAGAGACCAGTGAGAAAGGGGGGAGAGAGAGAGGCAGAGAGAGGGTGGGGAGCCCAGAGAGAAAGACAAACCAGAGAGGGAGAGAGAGCGAGAGAAAGAGACCAAAGAGAGAGAGACTGTTCAAACTAAAACAGAGGGATACCCAACTCTGGGCTCCACCCATACCGCTCTGCTTCATGTCACTACCCAGCGCAATCCAAACAAACCTGAAATTGGAACGTGGATTTGAGCACAGTAGGAGGATGATACACCAGTACTCTGGCAACCTTCAGTGCTCACCCAAAAACCAAGGAAAATATAAAAAACTAAATGTATGTTATAAAAGACATGCTCCGGAACTTTGGCGACCACTAATTATTTTTTAAACCTCCCGCTTTGGGCTGGATGTGCCAATCTGTAGTTCATACATGCATAATCTATAAGCAGAATTACTGTCTTACCTCAATTAGCCACAAAATCCCTAGTTTGAAAGCAACGGTTTTTCTGGAAGCTGTGCTGTGCCATTTTCCCTACATTTTCCCCCATGTGGGCCAGCCCCCTTGCAATCTGAGTTCTAGCCAATGAGCTTCAGCCCCTCGCCATTTGAGTGACAGCTAGCTAGATGCACACAAGAGAGAGCAATGACGTGTTGCACATATCTGCACATATGTGACATAGTAACCATTTTCGGGGACCACTTTTGGCTCGTGAGGCTACTTTCAAAGCAACTGGCTAAAAAGTATACAAAAGTACTGGAAAATCTCTTTAATTTTAGGGCTTTTTTTTACTTGAACCAGCATTTTGCAGTTGTTTTTGCTCTTTTCATCTTTATCCTTGCACCCTCCTCTCTCCTTTTTCTCTTGTCTTTCGTGGCAGTAATTGGAATAGTTGTGAGGTTAAGAAATAGTTGAGAGTGAGTGGGGAGGAAGAAGAGAAGCGTTGTTGGGGTTTGAGCGTTCTTATAAAAACGAGTGCTGGCTTCCATTTCTCAGCTGAACACAAGGCGTCTCACATTACTAAAGAGCGCCACATCTGCCAGCGGTTAAAAAAGAAAAGAAAAAAAGAAGGGCGCTTTATTACATTTAAAAAAGTTCAAACTCTGAAACCCTGAAGTTGGAGCTTTTGGCATAATATATGGAGGCCCAGTCTGAGGCCAGACGAGCCCTGACAGATTTCCAACCACAGCCCCTCTTCAGGCCCGCGCATGGATATCACACACGACAGGAGGGGAACGGAAAGAAACACAAGCCATTATTCTGAGGCGAGGAATAGCTCAGAGTAGCTTTTGATGATTGATTAACATCAGTGGGCCATGGCCACAGCTCTGGGGCCTGGTTCGAATCAAGCAGCCATTTTCTGGTCATTGGTAAGGTCATGTGTCAGCCAACGCAGGTTCCTTCTAATGCTTTTTGAACATTCTTGTTTTAAAAAAAGCGTTGTTCAACTTTGCTTACCCCGGCAATTGGAGTGTCCGTGAACCTGTATCGTGTTCACCTTTTTCCAAGCTTTTAGGAGAGAAGCCTGACATGCTTTTATGTCATACTTCTCATTGACCAAGCACTTCCAAGAATACAAGGTCAGCAGGTTTGGGGTCAACTCCTTTTCAATTCAGTCAATTCAGGAAGTAAACTGAAATTCCAATTCCATGTTTTCCTCAATGCTTTTCAACAGAAAAAATTTGAATTTGAATTTCAGTTTACTTCCTGAATTGAAAGGGAATTGACCCCAACCCTGGAGGTAAGTGAATTGCTCTGGCTCCAGATTCTAGGGATGAAAAGGTGAAGTGGAATGAATCTGGTTTGTGCCCTCACCTCATTCGTGGCCAGGGTGAGGATGCGGTCTAGATCCTCCACCAGCTGCTTGAAGGTGGGCCGGTGGGAGGAGATGGCGTGCCAACAGTCTTTCATCATCATGTACCTGAGACAGAGAGAGAGAAAGACAGAGACAGAGAGAAGGAGAATGAATGGTTGGCAAAATTACTTTATTGTTTTTCTTTCCAAAACACATGCCCTGCCACCCATTCAACAGACTCTGATGCACATTTCTAAAATCATTGTCCAATTGCCTGTCAAAAGTGGGTGAAATGATAAAGACTAATTTCTCTGAGCCTAGGTGTCAAGGTATGAACCAGCCAATCCAAACACAGCTATGCTGCTTCTATTTCTCTGCACTCTCTAACGTTTAAAACAAATGCACGCCAATACCAATCCTATCCTAGGTCTGTCTGTCTCCACTGTGGGTTTCACTGTTTCCAGTACAGTGTGAGAACATTAGGCCCTACAGTACCGATGCAGGCAGTGACATTGTGTACTGTGTGACTGGAGAGGGCCCATTGTGAATGACAACATTGATACAGGCCCAGGCCAGCTGTGTAGGGTCATGGATCTGATGGAGATGGGGTGAGGGTGGGGACCCCAGTAGGGTTTGTGTGTGTGTGTGTGTGTGTGTGTGTGTGTGTGAGTGCGTACATTCGTGCGTGTGTGTGTCTGCCTGCCTGCCTGCCTGCCTGCCTGCATGCACATGTGTGTGTGTGTGTATGAGATAAAGTAGATAAAGTGATAAAGATGGTATTATACAGCTCATTGGTGCAGTTGCCAGGCTTGTCCATACGATGGCCCTCTTTCAACAGCTTGAAGAGCTCCTCTACGGGGATGCCGGGGTACGGAGAACCCCCCAGGGTGAAGATCTCCCACATCAGCACCCCAAATGACCAGCTGGGAAGAAAAACACAAACACACATATTCAACATTAATGATTTCATTACTATTATCATGTTATGCGTCCATTGATACATACATACAAGTGATAACAATTGATGGCAATGGAAGTATTGGACTTTTCTTTTTTCTTATTTTTCACACGATTTCAACTGGTACTGCTCAGAGAACCAAAGGGTTGAAGGATAACTGTTAAAAGAACCCATAGCTACATCATTCCATTGATTCCATTAATTAAAACGCTAAACATTCTCTATAAATGTTCGCCCCTAACATTCATTTAGTTCTACTCAGTTTAACAAATATATCTTTAGTGTAGAGGTGGTGGGGAACAACAGTGTGATTGTCGCGGGGTGTTACTATCAACAGCCTCTTTCTGCCCTCCCTCCGCTGGCCCACACCATCCTGCGATACTGACCCGCTCCCACAGCTGGTGGGCAGTGCCATGCTGGACCTGGCATCAAAAATGCCCTTTGTAACGATACTGGACAGTCACAGTGTCACACTGGCCCCCATTGTCCAGTCAGACACTCCAAAAGAAACAGTAGAATGGATCCCCCACCCAGAGATAAGGTTTACAGTAAAGTGACTATTTATGTCGGCCTAATGGATGACTGTGTAAATAGCTAGCTAGCTAACTCTACTGTACATCGTGACTGTACTGTACAGTGTCCAGTCATTATTACAACACTAATTAAAAGCATCAATGATACCCTGATACTGATATTCATCAATGTCATGCTGTATCTACACAAGATACACTGAGAACAGCCAACACTTCTCCACTGACTGGCATATCTCAACAAAAAACAAGGCAGTAAAAATGTCATCCCCCACAAATGATGCAGCCCCCAATTCAAACTAGACTATACTGATAGTAACAAAACATGTGCCCGTTATAGCGCCACCATGTGGTCGACATGAATGTTCCTGCATGTTGAGTCTTGACAGTGTTTGCAACATGTGTACCAAATGTTGTTACAATATGAATATATGTGACTGATTTATATGCATTTATGTGCCAGACCACGCCCACGAAAATGTTTATTGGTCAATATTGTTTTAGGTACTAGTCTGTAAAATATTGCGTTGAGAGATATTCGTCCATAGATGCAACATATCAAGTTTCGTGCAGATCGGTAATTTGGTGTCAGGAGAGTTTTAAGCGTTTTTCAAAAAAAATCCATCATGGTGGACCTTATGGGTCCCTGAGGCAAATGTGTTCCTTGTGAGGAGAGGGACCTATGTACTGCATTTCCTGACTTTAGGTCAAACGGAGTGAGGGGCGACCTTTCAAAGTTTGCATTTTCAATCGCTTGTTATAACGCCACCATCTTGCCAATCAGTGTAATTTTGTAAATGCCGGATCAATGGCAGGACGCATCATTCACATTCCAAGTTTCGTCAAAATTAGGCCAGTGCTGTCTGAGATATCGCATGTGACGTACGTACTAACGGACGGAGACAGATCCACAGTGCCCTCCCCGATTTCATTTTAGGGGATAATCAATGAATCATCATGGCAGTGTGTGTGTTGGGAGCAACAAAGAGTGTATTATAGCACACGCAGGGAAAGGCGGCACACACACACACACACACACACACACAGAGCTACACGCCTACCTTAGTGACCCAAAGAGGCCACAACAAGACACAAAGACACCCTGATCTTTTATTTACTCCTGTGGTTATCTCTCCATCCATTTGTTTACATAACTGGCCCTGCGTTGGTTCTCTTTTCTATCTCTCCGTTTGTTAACACACCCCTTTGCTCCATTCAATGGCACTTTGTGTCCATCGCTCACCTATTGTCATTCCACTGGCCCATGTAGATATATACACACTAACAGATCCAAGTGCAAGCATACACATGTGTGCATGACTGCACGCACACACACGCATACACACTCTCCAAGGGTCACTGCAGCCAGTGACCTGGCATCCAACCTGGCCATAGCTAGTGTTTATACAAAGGCTGCATCGTAGTGAAAAGCAAAAAACAAACCAAAACACACTAAGGTGGGTGCTTATATTTGTCCTAGTTCACACATGTACAAGCAGGGCTTGACATTCAGGGTTGCCAGCTGGCCCAGGGAGGTTTGGGAAACTCTCAGGGCCAGTTGGTCATCCCCGTCAGTGGCCCGCTTGGGCCAGTGAAAATAATATTGTAATAATGCTATTTTTAATCTAGGCTATATAATTGATAAAGAAACAGATGAATTTCTGAAGCTGTTAGTTCGTTATGTCGATTATTTATCACACGCCCCCGCACACATAGCCTAGCTTGAGATTGTTGCGTGGAGCAGCTCACTGAAGACCGACAGCGGTAGGGGTAGGAAAGCGGTAGGAAAGATGTTCCAAGTTATGATATATACCAATAAATGCTAAGGCAAGAATGGGTATGCAAACCAGGTATAAAAAGTTCAGTCTTGGTTGAATATTTGCTATGCGCTATACAGTCTACCTTGATAATCAGACATTTACTTTAGGCTATTTAGTCCTTTAAAAGTCCTTGAAGTTATGGAAGCCGAATTAGAAGTTCTACTGCTCCAATTAGTTTTTTTGTAACCACTTTCATTTGTTTCCCGCCATTTCAATTAACAGATGCTGCGCTAGTCTGTTGCTCTCGTTGCGGTAAAACCATCTTCGGTTATTATGAGCAAGACAACATTGAATGTTGGCTTCAACTTGTTTTCCATACAAAGCATTCCATTAAATCAAATCAAATCGAATTTTATTTGCCACATGCGCCGAATACAACAGGTGTAGACCTTACAGTGAAATGCTTACTTACAAGCCCTTAACCAACAATGCAGTTTTTAAGAAAAGAGGGGAAAAAAGTGTTAAGTAAAAAAAAAAAAAAAAAGCTAATAATTAAAGAGCAGCAGTAAATTAAAATAACTGTAGGGAGGCTATATACAGGGGGTACCGGTACAGAGTCAATGTGCGGGGGCACCGGTTAGTCGAGGTAATTGAGGTAATATGTACATGTGGGTAGAGTTAAAGTGACTATGCATAAATAATAAACAGAGTAGCAGCAGCATAAAAGAGGGGGTTGGGATGGGGTGGGGGGGCAATGCAAATAGTCCGGGTAGCCATGATTAGCTTTTCAGGAGTCTTATGGCTTGGGGGTAGAAGCTGTTAAGAAGCCTTTTGGACGTAGACTTGGCTCTCTGGTACCGCTTGCCGTGCGGTAGCAGAGAGAACAGTCTATGACTAGGGTGGCTGGAGTCTTTGACAATTTTGAGGGCCTTCTTCTGACACCGCCTGGTATAGAGGTCCTGGATGGCAGGAAGCTTGGCCCCAGTGATGTACTGGGCCGTACGCACTACCCTCTGTAGTGCCTTGCGGTCGGAGGCCGAGCAGTTGCCATACCAAGCGGGATGCAACCAGTCAGGATGCTCTCGATGGTGCAGCTGTATAACTTTTTGAAGATCTGAGGACCCATGCCAAATCTTTTCAGTCTCCTGAGGGGGAATAGGCTTTGTCATGCCCTCTTCACAACTGTCTTGGTGTGTTTGGACCATGATAGTTTGTTGGTGATGTGGACCCCAAGGAACTTGAAGCTCTCAACCTGTTCCACTACAGCCCCGTCGATGAGAATGGGGGCGTGCTCAGTCCTCTTTATTTCCTGTAGTCCACAATCATCTCCTTTGTCTTGATCACGTTGAGGGAGAGGTTGTTATCCTGGCACCACACGGCCAGGTCTCTGACCTCCTCCCTATAGGCTGTCTCATCGTCGTCGGTGATCAGGTCTACCACTGTTGTGTCGTCTGCAAACTTAATGACGTGTTGGAGTTGTGCCTGGCCATGCAGTCATGGGTGAACAGGGAGTACAGGAGGGGACTGAGCACGCACCCCTGAGGGGCCCCCGTGTTGAGGATCAGCACTACAAAGGGAACCCAGTTTTTGCTCACTTTCTCATTTTTAAAACATGATACAATAACCACGTAATAACTCTTCAACATTTCAAATGGAGAGACTGACTAGCTACCACAGAATTCATTACTTTGTTTGTGTTGGGAGAATCTACTGTTGCATGCAGTCTATTTAGTCAGGCAATGCCCACTCTATTCTGACATGTTTTAGAATGTATATATATATATTTTTTATGTCAACGTATAATGCCATTGGGAAGTCTTAATAAAAACAAGTGGTAATGCATACTTTTTTGCATACATTTTGGGGGGAGATTTATTTCTATAGGCTATTACAACAATTCAATATAAAATGTAAGTCCTTGAAAATTACAATTAAGTACTTGGAAAAAGTCCTTGAAAGCCCTTGAATTTAACTTGTCAATGTCTGTATGAATGCTGTAGGCTACTTGCTCAGCCCAAATGAAAGATAAAATCACCTGCTATTGAAATTACGCGCACATCATCTGCTTTCCAGCCAGATCTTGACCCGGGCCAGTATTTGTTTTCATTCGGGACAGTTGCTTTCAGTTGGCAATGGCTCAGTGTGCCATTGGCAAATTTACCTGAATGTCAAGCCCTGACAAGTGTATATTAATATGCATGTGTGTATAGTTTTCTATTGTTATGTATTACCGCAATGTTGCAGCTAGAAACATAAGCATTTCGCTGCACCTGTGATAACATCTGCAAAATATGTGTATGCGACCAATAACATTTTATTTGAATTGGAAATGTGATTTTTGCATTTTGCATCTGAGACCCTCGGAGACTGGGGTCAGGTGTAGTATACAGATTATGTAGAATAGCATACAGTGCCTTGCAAAAGTATTCATCCCCCTTGGCGTTTTTCCTATTTTGTTGCTTTACAACCTGTAATTTAAATGGATTTTTATTTGGATTTCATGTAATGGACATACACAAAATAGTCCAAATTGGTGAAGTGAAATGAAAAAAATAACTTGTTAAAAAAATTCTAAAAAATAAATAACGGAAAAGTGGTGCGTACATATGTATTCACCCCCTTTGCTATGAAGCCCCTAAATAAGATTTGGTGCAACCAATTACCTTCAGAAGTCACATAATTAGTTAAATAAAGTCCACCTGTGTGCAATCTAAGTGTCACATGATCTGTCACATGATCTCTGTATATATACACTTGTTCTGAAAGGCCCCAGAGTCTGCAACACCACTAAGCAATGGGCACCACCAAGCAAGTGGGACCATGAAGACCAAGGGGCTCTCCAAACAGGCCAGGGACAAAGTTGTGGAGAAGTACAGATCAGGGTTGGGTTATAAAAAAATATCTGAAACTTTGAACATCCCACGGAACACCATTAAATCCATTATAAAAAAATTGAAAGAATATGGCACCACAACGAACCTGCCAAGAGAGGGCCACCCACCAAAACTCACGGACCAGGCAAGGAGGGCATTAATCAGAGAGGCAACAAGGAGACCAAAGATAACCCTGAAGGAGCTGCAAAGCTCCACAGCGGAGATTGGAGTATCTGTCCATAGGACCACTTTAAGCTGTACACTCCACAGAGCTGGGCTTTACGGAAGAGTGGCCAGAAAAAAGTCATTGGTTAAAGAAAAAAATAAGCAAACACGTTTGGTGTTCGCCAAAAGGCATGTGGGAGACTCCACAAACATATGGAAGAAGGTACTCTGGTCAGATGAGACTAAAATTGAGCTTTTTGGCCATCAAGGAAAACGCTATGTCTGGCGCAAACCCAACATCTCTCATCACCCCGAAAACACCATCCCCACAGTGAAGCATGGTGGTGGCAGCATCGTGGTTCTCTGTAGCTCAGCTGGTAGAGCATGGCGCTTGTAACGCCAAGGTAGTGGGTTCGATCCCCGGGACCACCCATACACAAAAAAAAAATGTATGCACGCATGACTGTAAGTCGCTTTGGATAAAAGCGTCTGCTAAATGGCATATTATATATTATTATTATATCATGCTGTGGGGATGTTTTTCATCGCAGGGACTGGGAAACTGGTCAGAATTGAAGGAATGATGGATGGCGCTAAATACAGGGAAATTCTTGAGGGAAACCTGTTTCAGTCTTCCAGAGATTTGAGACTGGGACGGAGGTTCACCTTCCAGCAAGACAATGACCCTAAGCATACTGCTAAAGCAACACTCGAGTGGTTTATGGGGAAACATTTAAATGTCTTGGAATGGCCTAGTCAAAGCCCAGAACTCAATCCAATTGAGAATCTGTGACTTAAAGATTGCTGTACACCAGCAGAACCCATCCAACTTGAAGGAGCTGGAGCAGTTTTGCCTTGAAGAACGGGCTAAAATCCCAGTGGCTAGATGTGCCAAGCTTATAGATACATACCCCAAGAGACTTGCAGCTGTAATTGCTGCAAAAGGCGGCTCTACAAAGTATTGACTTTGGGGGGGTGAATAGTAATGCACGCTCAAGTTTTCTTTCTTTTTTTGTCTTATTTGTTGTTTGTTTCACCCCAAAAAATATTTTGGTAGGCATGTTGTGTAAATCAAATGATACAAACCCCCCCAAAAATCAATTTTAATTCCAGGTTGTAAGGCAACAAAATAGGAAAAATGCCAAGGGGGGTGAATACTTTCACAAGCCACTGTACCTCTGTGACTCAAATCGGTGCAAATATAGGACTTTTTACTTTATTAGCTCATTGGGCATTTTCCTCTGTAACATTGTTGGCTGAATGTCAATCAAATCAAATCAAATCAAATGTTATGTGCCACATGCCTTACAGTGAAATGCTTACTTACAAGCCCTTAACAAACAATGCAGTTTTAAGAATTTAAGAAAATAGATAAGTAAAACTCTGACTCATATTACACTTATATCTTAAGCGCTTACATATACAGCACCCATATACTGTATTTATGGTATTGACAAACAACAATATGAATATGAATTTTAAGAAGGAGATCAATACACATACATCGGGCCATGAATCAAAATATCACCATAAACCAATCAGTCCAAAAGGGCTGGAGTCTGGAGCTAAAGGCTCGCACACATCGCACCGAATTTGAATCTAGCATTCGTCTGCCGATCGTTCAGTGCGCTGTGTTTTAGGGACCACCCGCTGTAGACGTCTGACTGCCGACATTTCTCACATGATTCTACATGTAAAATCGATGCGCACTCAGTTTGCAAATTACGTTCAGAGGTACTAAGTACTCTTGGCCAGCAAACGGTATTGGTGTGTCTGAACCCTAAGAAGTTGTACACTCTGGGGGGTATTACCTCATCCAAATGGGATATCCCCACCCCCTCCACACGCACGAACGCCGCACGCACACACACACCACCCAGCTCCAGCCTAGTGGATCAGACCCCCCACACTGCTGTAGCATAGCCTGTCCATGGCGCACTTTCCCTAGGTTAGTGGACCAACTCTGTGGCCGACTGGCAGATAACATTTCACTTTCCCCTACCCCAGCCTGCCTCCTAAACCTACACAACCTACTGGGTCCATCTGTCAAAACAACATGGGCAAGTACTACTTGAAAGAGGCGAGGAAAGGAGGCAAGATGAGTCTCCTGCCATTCACATACGAGATTAATGAAAATAAAAACTGAGAACATTTTCATTATTTTGTTAACAGAAAAGGTCCCACGAAAAAGATGAGACATGTCCAAAGCTAAGAACTGAATGAAGACTCAAGACTGAGAGATGAGTGTGTGCAAAATGGGGGGAAGGTGAGAGAGGAGAAAGAGGTGGTATTTTTGCATTCAGACATGTATGAAGGACTCTATAACCACTGTGATTATTAATTCACCCTGCTGGTCATCTATGAAAGTTTGAACATATTGAAGAACGATCTGGCCTTAATGGCCATGTACTCTTATAATCTTCACCGGGCACAGCCAGAAGAAGACTGGCTACCCCTCAGAGCCTGGTTCCTCTCTAGGTTCCTTCCTAGGTTCCTGCCTTTCTAGATAGTTTTTCCTAGACACCTTGCTTCTACATCTGCATTGCTTGCTCTTTGGGGTTTTAGGCTGGGTTTCTGTATAAGCACTTTGTGACATCTGCTGATGTAAAAAGGGTTTTATAAATACATTTTAATTGAGAATTGAATTGAAGGAGGCCTAGGGGAGACTTCCGTGCAGGGCAGGGGGAGGTGGGCTCTTGCCCCTTCCAGAGGCTTTGAAGACGGGCAGATTAGTAACACAGCATTGGCTGCAAGTCTAGTGTGAAACTTTCCCTTTGGCGACAGACCTGCCGGTACACCATCCACCCCCCAAACAAATCCCCCTGCCCCCCTAACTCCACCACCACCAAATCACCTCACTGACCTCCTGTACCCGTTGCTCCACCACCATCCTAACCTCTTACCCCCTCGGTCTCACTGCAAAACAATTTGCATCAAAGAGCCAGTGTATAGGCCAGGGTTGTGTTCATTGGGGCACACAATGGAAAACTTTTTAAAGCGGCCGGTTTTAGTCGGTTTTCTTACATTTGGTACCCAATGAACACAGTCTAGGCTGAGTTCCTCCTTCTAAAACAGTAAGCGAGTTGTGTGTGTGTGAGAGAGAGAGAGTAAAACCAAGGCTCAGTACTTACACATCACTCTGGTGAGTGTACACACGGTCAAACAGCGCCTCTGGAGCCATCCACTTCACCGGGAGACGACCCTGAGGAGGACACATACTCATACAGGTCAGAGGTCAATAGGTCACAAGGTCAAAAAGATGACATTTAAATATCTATACACAGACAGACATGGGGTATTTCATGACCAATATTTATTGGCCAATCAGCATCTTTTAATTCATGCACTCTTCCTGGTTCCTGGTATTCCCAATAATCTCATTAGATCTGGGAATACCAATAGGGAATTACAATAGTATATAGGAAAACCACTGGGACCGCCTGGGACCACCTGGGACTTATATTTCCCAGAGGTACTGTCACACGTTTTTAGCAGTTAGCAGATAAAGGCAGAGTTTATTGCTACATGCCATTAAACACTGCAGCATGGATAGCTAAGTGACAAGCAGGGTCGAATACATTCATGCATACTGAAGTTGCAGTGTAGGATAAATTATTTCAGAATGGGTAATAGAAAGGTAGGGCAGATGATAATCATGATGATGATGATGATGATGATGATAATGATTAACATTTGTTCTGCCCCTACCTTTTTATTAGGCCTTCTGAAATATGTCTAATTTCTCCTAGACTAGAACATACTATATTGTACAGACTGATGGATTGGTGTTTATCGTCATCATCATCATCATCATCATCATCATCATCATCACAAACACCCTCACCCATTGTCTATGGCTCATGTGTTGTGGTTGGTTGTTGTTGTGGTTGTTGTTGTTTTCAACTAGGCTAGGTTCTCAGCGTGTAATGAAAAGGCAGCCATGCATACTAAAGGAGGATGGGCAGGCTGTGCTGTGCTCTACAGTGGGAATAGGATGAATGCTACTGGGGGTCTGCTATGGAGATGTCAAGCACTCTGTTGCTCTCCCTCTATTTCCCTCCTTTTCTCTCCATCTCTCTTGGTCTGTTTGGACAAGTGGCTATGGAAGTGAAGGAACAAGAGAGGAGGCACACACGAGTGCAGAGCCTCTATAGAAGCACTGCATTCACTGATGGCCTGGGAACCTCCAGTTAGAGAGCTGCGGGCCCGACAGAGAGCATTGTGGTGTGGTCGGCATTTTTCACACTGCGGGCGGGAGCGGGCGGTCAGACAGATAACTTTGGGTCCCGCAGATTAATTAGAACGGTTGTCTTTCTGTTTTGTATGTGTTATCTATTGTATTAAAAACAGCTCTTTGTCGCAATATTTACAAACTCTCAAAGGATAATTCTGCTTCAAGTTCAGTAACCTAGCTCTTCTCTCTTGTGTTGGGCGTGCGAGATCAAATGTGCCTATGCTTGGTCTCACTTAAATAACCTATAGGCTGCATGCATGGACGGAGAAGCACGCGCAATGGTCTTTCCATGGAAATTAACTTATTAAATATGATAGGCTATAGTTTAGGCTCCAACATTGGCTGTAAATAAATATTGATAACACATTTATTTGTGTTTGCCTGCAAATTGTCTCGCTCCTATCAAAGTTATGTAAGATTATTTCAAAACGGTTTTGTCTTTTTGTTTTGAAGGCTATTCGTTATGTACAGTGCCTTCAGAAAGTATTCACACCCCTTGACCTTTTCCACATTTTGTTGTGTTACAGCCTGAATTTAAAATTGATTAAATTGAGATGTTGTGTCACTGATCTACACACAATACCCCATAATTTCAAAGTGGAATTATGTTTTTTAGAAATTTAAGAAAATACAAATAAATGAAAAGCTGAAATATCTTGAGTCAATAAGTATTCAACCCTTTTGTTATGGCAAGCCTAAATAAGTTCAGGAGTAAACATGTCTTTTACAAGTTACATAATAAGTTGCATAGACTCAATCTGTGTGCAATGATAGTGTTTAACATGATTTTTAAATGACTACCCCATCTCTGTACCCCACACATACAATTATATGTAAGGTCCCTCAGTTGAGTAGTGAATTTCAAGCACAGATTCAACCACAAAGACCAGGGAGGTTTTCTAATGGTTCGCAAGGAAGGGCACCTATTGGTAGATTAGTAAAAATATAAATAAAAATGACACTGAATATCCCTTTGAGCCTGGTGAAGTTATTAATTACACTTTGGATGCTGTATCAATACACCCAGTCGCTACAAAGATACAGGCGTCCTTCCTAACTCAGTTGCCGAAGAGGAAGGAGAACCACTCAGGGATTTCACCATGAGGCCAATGGTGACTTTAAAACGGTTACAGAGTTGAATGGCTTTGATAGGAGAAAACTGAGGATGGATCAATTACATTGTAGTTACTCCACAATACTAAACTAAATGACAGAGTGAAAAGAAGGAAGCCTGTACAGAATACAAATATTCCAAAACATGCATCCTGTTTGCAATAAGACTAAAGTAAAACTGTGGCAAATAAATGCATTTTATGTCCTGAATACAAAGTGTTATGTTTGGGGAAAAATCTAACACAACACGAGTACCACTCTTCATATTTTCAAGCATGGTGGTGGCTGCATCATGTTATGGGTATGGGTCATCGGCAAGGACAAGGGAGTTTTTTAGGATAAAAAGAAATGGAATAGAACTAATCACAGGCAAAATCCTAGAGGAAAACGTGGTTCAGTGTGCTTTCCAACAGACACTGGGAGACAAATTCCTGCTAAAACAGGAAAGAGCCTTCCCCAAACTGTTGCCACAAAGTTGGAACGACAGAATCGTCTAGAATGTCATTGTATGCTGTAGCGTTAAGATTTCCCTTCACTGGAACTAAGGGGCCTAGCCCGAACCATGAAAAACAACCCCAGACCATTATTCCTCCTCCACCAAACTTTACAGTTAGCACTACCCAGATTCCAGATTCGTCCGTCGGACTGCCAGATGGTGAAGCGTGATTCATCACTCCAGAAAACGCATTTCCACTGCTCCAGAGTCCAATGGTCGGCGAGCTTTACACCAATCCAGCCGACGCTTGGCATTGCGTATGGTGATCTTAGGCTTGTGTGCGGCTGCTCAGCCATGGAAACCCATTTCATGAAGCTCCCGACGAACAGTTAATGTGCTGACGTTGCTTCCAGAGGCAGTTTGGAACTCGGTAGTGAGTGTTGCAGACGATTTTTACACGCTATGTGCTTCAGCACTCAGCGGTCCCGTTCTGTGAGCTTGTGTAGCCTACCACTTCGCGGCTTAGCCGTTGTTGCTCCTAGACATTTCCACTTCACAATAACAGCACTTACAGTAAACCGCGGCCGCTTTAGCAGAGCAGAAATTTGACAAACTGACTTGTTGGAAAGGTGGCATTCTATGACGGTGCCACGTTGAAAGTCACTAAGCGCTTCAGTAAGGCCGTTCTACTGCCAATGTTTGTCTATGGAGATTGCATGGCTGTGTGCTCGATTTTATACACCTGTCAGCAACGAGTGTGGCTGAACTAGCCGAATCCACTCATTTGAAGGGGTGTCCACATACTTTTGTATATATATATATATATATATATATATATCTTATATAACTTTCAATGTTGGACATTAAAGACTATAAAATCACCAGGAAATCAGCTTAAAGTGATTTTAATTTACACTGAATTAAAATATAAACGCAACATGCAACAATTTCAAAGATTTACAGTTCATATAAGGAAATCAGTCAATTGAAATAAATTCATTAGGCCCTAATCTATGGATTTCACATGACTGGGAATACAGATATGCATCTGTTGGTCACAGATACCTTTTTTTTTTAAGTAGGGGCGTGGATCAGAACCACCATTTGCCTCATGTAGCACAACACATCTCCTTCGCATAGAGCTGATCAGGCTGTTGATTGTGTCCTGTGGAATGTTGTCCCACTTCTCTTCAATGGCTGTGTGAAGTTGCTGGATATTGGAAACTGGAAAATGTTTTCGTACAAGCCGATCCAGAACATCCCAAACATGCTCAATGGGTGACATGTCTGGTGAGTATGCAGGCCATGGAAGAACTGGGACATTTTCAGCTTCCAGGAATTGTGAACAGATACTTGCGTCATGGCGCCATGCATTATGATGCTGAAACATGAAGTGATGGCGGCGGATGAATGGCATGACAATGGGCCTCAGGATCTCGTCACGATATCTCTGTGCATTCAAATTGCCATAGATAAAATGCAATTGTGTTCGTTGTCCGTAGCTTATGCCTGCCCATACCATAACCCCACCACCACCATGGGGCACTCTGTTCACAATGTTGACATCAGCAAACCAATCGCCGACACGACACCATACACACTGTCTGCCATCTGCCCGGTACAGTTGAAACCGGGATTCATCCGTGAAGAGCACACTTCTCCAGCGTGCCAGTGGCCATCGAAGGTGAGCATTTGCCCACCGAAGTTGATTACGGCGCCGAACTGCAGTCAGGTCAAGACCCTGGTGAGGACGACAAGCACGCAGATGAGCTTCCCTGAGATGGTTTCTGACAGTTTGTGCAGAAATTCTTTGGTTGTGCAAACCCACAGTTTCATCAGTCCGGGTGGCTGGTCTCAGACGATCCCGCAGGTGAAGAAGCCGGATGTGGAGGTTCTGGGCTGGCGTGGTTACACGTGGTCTGCGGTTGTGAGGCCGGTTGGACATACTGCCAAATTCTCTAAAATTATGTTGGAGGTGGCTTATGGTAGAGAAATTAACATTACATTCTCTGGCAACAGCTCTGTTGGACATTCCTGCAGTCAGCACGCCAATTGCACGCTCCCTCAAAACTTGAGACATCTGTGGCATTGTGTTGTGACAAAACCACACATTTTAGTGGCCTTTTATTGTCCCCAGCACAAGGTGCACCTGTGTAATAATCATGTTGTTTAATCAGCCACACCTGTCAGGTGGATGGATTATCTTGGCAAAGGAGAAATGCTCACTAACAGGGATGTAAACAAATTTGTGAGTATGGAACATTTCTGGGATATTTGATTTCAGCTCATGAAACATGAGACCAACACTTTACATGTTGGGTTTATATTTTTGTTCAGTGTAGGAAATCTGTTCCCAAGTAGTCCCATGCATAAATAGAGGCGTATGTGATATTGCTGAGCGATTAACCATTTAATTAGATTTTTTGGGGGGGGTTTAAACAACTAATTGACCGTCTGATTAATTATTTGAAATTCCATTTCACTCGTTTTTTTTGTGTGAACTCAATGCGCAAATCGCACCGTTTTTGTAGAGATAAATCAGATCCAGCCTGAACTGTGCGATGTAGTAGGGAGTTGTAGTTTCAAACAGGCCAATTTTCTATAGAGTTTAGCGCATAGCATGTGGTAATTAACTACAATGACCATAATCCATTGCGCATCTACTTGTCCGGTCTGTGTCTCTTTTATGACCGCTTCTATGGAAGAGAGAAGAGTGCGCGATTGTGAGCTGATATAGAGAGCAGCTGTTGCTTCGCAAAGTAATTCCACCTGAACATACATGATCTAAGTGATTGATAGTTGGTATTCAGCAGTCATAAAAGTATGCCTTATTTACTTTGAAGAACTACAAAATAGTACTTTTGTCAGACAGCAGAGGCAGCAGCTTGTGATGAGATGATGACTTGGAATGAAATAATAAAGTCATCAAATAAAACAAATGTAATATACACAACAACTGATTTTCTTTTTTTAAGTAATGTGAATAAATTACGGCTAATAAGTGATAACCAGTAATGGGCAGTCTCTACCATCATGGGACCTTTATTAATTGTTTTATTCTGTGTTGTTACAGCATTCAACCCACATAATGCATAGTGCAGTTAATGTTTAAAAAAATTATCGAAACCATAATCGAACCGACCTCAAAAAGCACAAATCGCTCAGCAGTGATATGTGCTCATATTCCAATGTAATCAAGGTTTGAAATTATTCTGTTTTGTCAAATACTATATCTGTTTGGGATTCTTGCAGTCAATTTGCAGTGTACAAATTATTTAAAACTATGTTCCGGCCCCCCAACCATCCGCTCAAGGAAAAATTGGCCCATGGCTGAATGTAATTGGCGACCCCTGACCTACAATAACATTGCGGTATGGCGGCCGGGTTCGGGACCAGTTCTTTCAGGAGCGGGTGGGAATCGGACAAGAAGTCAGTGGGAGCAGGCGAGGACTGTATGAAAAGCAGCGGGAGCGGGATGAAGGAATCAATCCCGCACAGACTTCTACCTCCTGTCTCTGCCAAGACTGAGAAGGAGGGAGGGAGGCTCAATTTACACGATACAGAAAGTAAACTTTCAAATTCCAAATTTCCTCAAGGAATTTCGGTTTACTTCATGAATTAACTAAATTGAAATGGAATTGACTGTGTCACATACACCCCCTCACAACATTCCAGAACACACTAACTAACACACGACACAGCATACACTCCTCATGTGCCCCCCCCCCCAAGTACTCACGTTAGTTGTCTTTTTATAGTAATCGATGTTGTGGACATCCCTGGCCAGGCCAAAGTCAGCAATCTTCATGAAGTTGCTCTCTGTGACCAGGACGTTCCTCGCTGCTAGATCTCTATGTATACACTGGATGGAGAGAAGTAGAGAAAAGGGGTCAGGGTGGATAGCGATATTGATGAACTTGAGAACGAGAAAAAAAAACATACATAGAAATGAATAGAAAAATGTAAGTAAGCTATACTAAAAATTATGTTATGATTTTATACTGTGTATGTATGGTAAGTGTAATGAACCAGAAACATATTTAATGAACCCTTTGACACGTACCAACAAACGGGTGGAATCATTCTACAGTGGTCCCTGCAGCGTACGCTCAAACCGGTGTGATACGAACGCTTATTTAGAACGTCCAGTTTCGATTGACGCAACAGTCAGCGTTTGAGCTGGCCACACTGTTTTTTCTCAGAAACATTTTGCACAAACACAGTCCTTACAAAGTTATGTCCTGAATTTGACCAGTTTATTTTTGGATGCAATGTTTAGACATTCACATAAGTAACGACAGCATAACACAATCATCCAAACCGGAAAATGTAGGCTACATTAGTCCTAGCGCTAACTGAGGAAAGGTTGACGTAACACAAGCGGTCATATTTAGCTAACTCTCGGCTGACAGAAACCACAATATGCTAATAGAAATGACTATTTACAATTCATCACATCATGGTGAGCTCACCATTGATTGAAATAATTGAGTAAAACACTTTCTAAAAATGGAAAGTAATCTGACGATGGGTCGTTTTTGCGTGCCACCATGTTTGTTTTTTGCGTCAACCAAAGATAAGAAGAGGAGAAAAGATTACTTTGGTCTGTTTGCAGTATGCATGTTGAAGGGGTGTGTTGTGTATGATCATTCACTTCCCTTCATTCACTTCCGGAAGTTTAATCGTAAGATGAGTGAACCATTCCTTCACCTCATTTTGTTATAACATATTTGGTCTGAAAGACGTTTCACGTGACAGCCAGAATACATTGTATAATGTCAACAAACATGGCGCCAAACATAGCTGGCAAAGAGCTTAGCATTAGCTCATCATAATCAGTACAACCTTCAAAAAGGTATTTTACACACATCATAGGTGTCCATTACAATCTATGCAATAATGGGAATGCATGATTTGTCACCAGTACTTGAAAACATATGAATAAAACTGTAAATACAATATGCTCCATACATACATACTGTATGCTAAAGTAGAAATGACAACACGATATACAGAAAATAAACCACTTACTTTGATAGGAACATACACATGTCCAAAGTTATTATTTGTAAGGAAAACAACAATGAAGGCAATGCGAGCGCCAGCCAGAAAATGTGCCTGGGGGATCAATTTCGTGCAAGACTGCTTGGGCTCTCCCCTCGAAGAGAGAAGTTTGTCCGGCTCAGTAAAGCCCCAAACATAAATTGGTCCGCAACAGTGAAATGGGCTACTTCTATGTGAATTAATGAGGAGGCGGAACACACCTCAGTTGAAAATAACTTGAAATTGACAAGTTGAAACATAGCCTATAGATAATTAGCAGGCAGCTTGGTTTGAGGGCAGCGCGGGTTAACTGTCCTGTTGCGTAACAATCACATTTTGGAACAGTGAGTGCATTCTGACATCATGTGCATAAAAAAAACTCACGCTGGGGCGACCGTTAGAGATATTTGGAACTGACATGTGAAAAGGTTAAAGTAACACCGCTACCTAATATAACATGACGAAATAGCACAGGCATGACTAACGTGCCTGAATCTGAAGATTCATAACAGATACATGGTAGAAGTTTTTTGTGTGCCTAGGTGTGCATGTGTACCTGTGCATGTGTGTCTAGGTGCATGTCTGCATGCCAGTGTGTGTGTATGCGCACGTGTGTGTGTGTGTGTGTGTGTATGTGTTAGCGTACTGTGTGATTGTATGCTCTAGCCTCTGTCACATTCCTCTAGTGAGCAGGAGCATGATGGAGTGTTTGGCTAACGTGCCCATTGCCAGTTGTGAATGCGTTGGGAAAACGCTATTCTTCAGTTGTCCACACAGAGAGGCTTTGTGTGATAGAGAGAGACAATGCTGGGATCTGGACAGTGGGCTAGAGATGTGTTTTTAGGAGACAATATTCCCACAATGATAAACACACACTTTTTACACAACCACCCTGGCTAAAGCCCTAGTCACAAGGACCCAGTGCAATGACAAGGAAGTGTGCCTACCTAAATCTATAGTGAGAATGAACATGGTGTGTGTGTGTGTACCTTCTGTGAGGCCAGATATTCCATGCCCCGTGCCACCTGGTAGGTACAGGATACCAAGTCCTTGAAGGTGAGCTGTTCATCTGAGCAGCGGGTAATATCGTAGGAGTACTCCATGCCAGGGGGCCTGCGGCCACGTAGGTACTCCCTCAGGTTCCCTTTAGAGGCATACTCCACTATCACATACAGAGGGCCTGTCACACACAGAGAGAGAGAGAGAGAGAGAGAGAGAGAGAGAGAGAGAGAGAGAGAGAGAGAGAGAGAGAGAGAGAGAGAGAGAGAGAGAGAGAGAATACAGGACTCAACCACACTGACTGATCACTGCTTTCCAAATTGGGGGAGAGAGAAGAATCTTCAGTATTGAAGGAACCGAGTCAATCAGGGATTTTGGCCATCAGGATTTTATCTTCAAAACTTCAATACTGACAATTTGTGAAGGACAGTGTCAAACATAGACTAATGACAAATATATGGTGGGAGAGGTTTTAGTCGTGTGTGTGGATAAAATACTCATGTAGATTCAGTTCTGATGTTCAACCCCATTTTCATAGTAGATGTATGGGAGAGAGCTTGGCCATTTGGACCATGAAAATTATGAGGTACAGAGTAAGTTATGGTAGAGCCCCTTGTACTCACCTTCTTGTGTACAGGCCCCTAGCAGGTTGATGATGTTCTTGTGTTTCCCGATCATCTTCATCATCTCCATCTCTGACACCAGATCAGACAGGTCCTTCTCTGTAGCATCGTCTGGAGAGGGGCAGGAGGAGGGAGGAACAATGCGTCAATATAGAGGACAGAAAATACGTATTCATGATTAACAGACACATGCGCTCACATGCGCAATGCTATAGGCTGCATTCATATGTCAGCATCATTACCTGTTAGCTAGCCCTCCCTCTTGGTCGGTCCTGTCTCGCTCAGTTAAACCTCTTAAATGTAAAGTCCCCATATTTGGGGACCCTATTAGATTTTGTCTATTCAATTCAGTCTTGTATGAGAACGTTAGCCCCTATTTGCAAAGGCAGGGTATATGCGGAAAGCTGAGTATCTTGGCTATTGATCGGTGCCTTACAATCATTGGTGTGACTTACTACCATATATGGGCATACACATTTATAAGGGCAGGCCGAGCCGATGACCTCATTTCAAGATGGCTGCGGGAGAGGTTGTTGTCCTGGCACCACACGGCCAGATCTCTGACCTCCTCCCTATAGGCTGTCTCATCGTTGTCGGTGATCAGGCCTACCACTGTTGTGTCGTCGGCAAACTTAATGATGGTGTTGGAGTCGTGCCTGGCCATGCAGTCATGGGTGAACAGAGAGTACAGGAGGGGACTTTGGAGAGGTTTAGGGACACTTGGAAATGTCCCGTGACCACACCTGACACCACTTACTAAAACATTTGCCCATTTCTAGTTGTTAGGTCTATCAATCCCATTTTTTTTCTGATATTGTTCACATCTGATGTGTTTCCAGCTCTAGTCATCAATAATTCACTTATTATTATTTTGTGTGTGCTTGATCTTGTGTATTCTGAACTATGTAACTCCTATCTATCTTCTGATCATTTCCTTATAATCTCCAAATATACCAAGTTTTTGCATGTCAGAATCATGTAATTACACATGAATAGCAGTTACTTTTGGGTATGTGTATTTAGGCGGGAATCTACATTTTGCCATTACCTTCCCTTGCTCAGCCATGGTCGAAGTCCCGATGTGTGTGTGTGTGTGCGCGTGTGCATCTGTGTGTCCAGCCCCACCCATCAAATGTTCTACCTGACCTAGCCCCCCCCTACCGAGTTCCAAACTGTCTCTGGAAGCAACGTCAGCACAATAACTGTTCGTCGGGAGCTTCATGAAATGACTTTCCATGGCCGAGCAGCCAAGCCTAAAATCACCATGTGCAATGCCAAGGGTCGGCTGGAGTGGTGTAAAGCTCGCCATCATTGGACTCTGGAGCAGTGGAAACGTGTTCTCTGGAGTGATGAATCACACTTCACCATCTGGCAGTCCAACGGACGAATATGGGTTTGGCGGATGCCAGGGGAACGCTACCTGCCCGAATACATAGTGCCAACTGTAAAGTTTGGTGGAGGAGGAATAATGGTCTGGGGCTGTTTTTCATGGTTTGGGCTAGGCCCCTTAGTTCCAGTGAAGGGAAATCTTAACGCTACAGCATACAATGACATTCTAGACGATTCTGTGCTTCCAACTTTGTGGCAACAGTTTGGGGAAGGCCCTTTCCTGTTTTAGAATGAGAATGCCCCTGTGCACAAAGCGAGGTCCATATAGAAATGGTTTGTCGAGATCGATGTGGAAGAACTTGACTGGCCTGCACAGAGCCCTGACCTCAACCCCATCTAACACCTTTGGGATGAATTGGAACGCCGACTGCGAGCCAGGCCTGAACGCCCAACATCAGTGCCCGACCTCACTAATGCTCTTTCGGCTGAATGGAAGCAAGTCCCCGCAGCAATGTTCCAACATCTAGTGGAAAGCCTTCCCAGAAGAGTGGAGGCTGTTATAGCAGCAAAGGGGGGACCAACTCCATATTAATGCCCATGATTTTGGAATGAGATGTTCGACGAGCAGGTGTCCACATACTTTTGGTCATGTAGTGTATGTAGTGTACAGGGTTGGGTAGGTTACTTTCTAAATGTAATTCATTACAGTTACTAGTTACCTATCCAAAATTGTAATCAGTATTGTAACTTTTGGATTACCCAAACTCAGTAACATAATCTGATTACTTTGAGTTACTTTTACATTACTTTCCCCTTAGGAGGCATTAAAAACCAAAGTCTGTCAGATTTTTGTAATCAGTTACTTGTAATGGATTTCATGTAATCCGTTATTCACCAACCCTGGTAGAGTACTTGCACACACAGTGACACATATAGCCAGGTATGCACTGTATGTAGTGTAAATAAGAAATTATACATAAGTAAACACACCCTCGAACACAAACACACACGCCCAGCCACATATACCCCAAACTAGAGCCGGTGGCTTACAGCTAGCAGGGCAGTGTGTCACACGGCTAGGGTTACACTGTGTCAATACTGAGATCCCGTAGCCTTTACTGAGGGAGATAGGGACACACAGGGGTAAACACACAAAAACATGCACAGGTACAAACTGAGACCCCTTCACTTTTTCCACATTTTGTTACGTTACAGCCTTATTCTAAAACGGATCATCAATCTACACACAATACCCCATACTGACAAAGCAAAAATAGGTTTTTATACATTTGTTGAAGAAAAACAAACGTGTTTACATAAGTATTCAGACCCTTTGCTATGAGACTCAAAATTGAGCTCAGGTGCATCCTGTTTCCATTGATCATCCTTCAGATGTTTCTACAACTTCATTGGAGTCCACCTGTGGTGAATTCAATTGATTGGACATGATTTGGAAAGGCACACACCTGTCTATATAAGGTCCCACAGTTGGCAGTGCATGTCAGAGCAAAAACCAAGCCATGAGGCCGAAGGAATTGTCTGTAGAGCTCCGAGACAGGATTGTGTCGAGGCACAGATCTGGGGAAGGGTACCAAAATATTTCTGCAGCATTGAAGGTCCCCAAGAACACAGTGGCCTCCATCATTCTTAAATGGAAGAAGTTTGGAACCACCAAGCTGGCCACCTGGCCAAACTGAGCAATCGGGGGAAAAGGGCCTTGGTCAGGGAGGTGACCAAGAACCCGATGGTCACTCTGACAGAGCTCCAGAGTTCCTCTGTGGAGATGGGAGAACCTTCCAGAAGGACAACTATCTCTGCAGCACTCCACCAATCAGGCCTTTATGGTAGAGTGGCCAGACGGAAGCCACTCCTCAGTAAAAGGCACATGACAGCCCACTTGGGGTTTGCCAAAAGGCACCTAAAGGACTCTCAGACCATGAGAAACAAGATTCTCTGGTCTGATGAAACCAAGATTGAACTCTTTGGCCTGATAGCCAAGCGTCACGCTCATCACCTGGCCAATACTATCACTACGGTGAAGCATGGTGGTGGCAGCATCATGCTGTGGGGATGTTTTTCAGCGGCAGGGACTGGGAGACTAGTCAGGATCGAGGGAAAGATGAACAGAGCAAAGTAGAGTGAGATCCTTGATGACAACCTCAGGACCTCAGACTGGGGTGACGGTTCACCTTCCAACAGGACAACAACCCTAAGCACACAGCCAAGACAACGCAGGAGTGGCTTCGGGACAAGTCTCTGAATGTCCCTGAGTGGCCCAGCCAGAGCCCGGACTTGAACCCGATCAAACATCTCTGGAGAGACCTGAAAATAGCTGTGCAGCGACGCTCCCCATCCAATCTGACAGAGCTTGAAAGGATCTGCAGAGAAGAATGGGAGAAACTCCCCAAATACAGGTGTGTATTTGCCAAGCTTGTAGTGTCATACCCAAGAAGACTCGAGGCTGTAATCGCTGCCAAAGGTGCTTCAACAAAGTACTGCGTAAAGGGTCTGAATACTTATGTAAATGTTATATTTCAGGTTTTTATTTTTAATAAATGTGCAAAAATTTCTTAGAACCTGTTTTTGCTTTGTCATTATGGGGTATTGTGTGTAGATTGAAGACGGGACAAAAAAACTTTTTAATCCATTTTAGAATAAGGCTAACGTAACGTAACAAAATGTCAAGGGGTCTGAATACTTTCTGAATGCATGTTACCTTTCAGCATCTTCACAGCCACTGTGACGGCCTCCTTGGGCTTGTCCTTATCAATGCCCAATGCTTCGGCCATCACCACCTGGCCAAAGCAGCCCTCGCCTAGTGGCTTGCCCAGAGTCAACCTGTAGAGGAGGAGAGGGAGAGGTTAGAAGAATAGTTCAAACAGCTGTATAGCTACGCACAGAATTTATAATAGCACTCCTTTATACACTCACATGGGCATGTGCACACGCACACACACTTAGACCCAGTCCCACACACCCCACACCACTATCACTCATGGTCACAACACCTCTCTGACCAACTGATCCTTTGGTAATAGATTGACCCTCTGGTCCTAGTTTGATTGACAGGCGGTGGCCCTACCCCTGTGGCCCAGTCTTGAGGCTGTGTAAACATTCACACTGGCTCCGGGGCCTAAGGCCAGCACGCCGTCAGTGTAACACAATCCCTAGCCTGTCCACACACAAGCTCCCCCACCACCCCACAACCCCTAGCTCAATGGCACCCTTTCTGCCCCGGCCTACCACACATAATCAATGCTATTTTTCCTTCCACGCCAGCACAAATGTTAGCATTCCTGAATGTTCCGCATCTCCACCACGGCCCCTGAGGCACTTGGGAATGACAGATGAGGAGCGGAGGAGAGGAGACAGGGGGACAGAGATGAACGAAAGAGAGAGAGAGAGAGAGAGAGACACAGAGGGCTTCAATTGAGCATGCCAAGGAGAACATGTAGAATGCTTTTGATCCCCTACTGTTAAATCTTCACAAAAACATGGCATGGCGAAACACCACAGGCAAAAATATGTTAATTACCCAAGAGCCGGAGTGTGTGTTTTACTGCCTGGGTTGTATGTATAAGTCTGTTCTGTCCTTAAGCCTGACACTTTCCACTGAAGCTGACTGAGGCCACTAGTTCAACTCAGAGTAGGGACTAACTCCTCTGGTATGAAGGCAAAGCAAACAGTCACAGCACAAACACACAGATTACAGCCATGACACACACACACACACACACACACACACACAAAGACACACACACACACACTGGGTCCTGTTCATTAGGTTAAAAAAAAAACGCTTTTCTCATTGGACACTTCCAGGTAGTCCCTCCCTGTTTCAGTCTGTTTCCTTCTGGTTGGTGCCTAATGAACAGGACCCTGGTACAGTGTAGTACTGAGAAATGACTCATTGGTCTGTGTAAGTGATAAGGAAAGGGCTGGGTGCCAATGGCCTCCCTGGGTCATGTTCAGTAGAGCACAATGTTTTTAAACATTTTGCAATTGAAAACAAAATTGAGCATTTCTTATTGGTCCAGGCTGTCCCTCCCTGTTTCAGTCCCTTTTCTTCCGTTTGGTGCCTAATGAACACTACTCTGGTACAGTGTCACAGCCATTACTCACTGGTTAATCATTACAGATCACAGACCATGTTCAATGGTGCTTAATGGTATATTATACCGGATAACACTAGTACCTCATGTAATAGCCTGCATATACAATCAGTTAGCCAACGTTGTCATTCATGATGAGGGGGTAACATGCTACATACACAAAAATGTATGCACGCATGACTGTAAGTCGCTTTGGATAAAAGCGTCTGCTAAATGGCATATTATTATTATTATTACTATAATGCATCTAGTTAGTAGACAATAAAGTGAATAGCAACATTCACACTTTTACTTGAAAGTGCTAGTGTGAAATCACTGCCACAATCTCTGATATCTGGGTCACTGCACTGGATTCATTTCTGGGGTTTGAAGTTAGGTAACATAACATAGCAGGCGTAAAATAAACGCCTGAGCGGGGTCAGAGGAAACCGGAAGCATACGGTTTTCAGGCTTTGCCTCTTCTCTGCTTTTCCCCTGAAAACTGGATGCTTCCGGATTTTTCAGACCCCGCTGAGGGTGGATGTTAGGTGGAAATACATTCCAACTGAGCAAAAACCTCACTGACTGCAGCTTATAACAGTATGCAGCTAGTCTTGGGCCTCACCCATTTCCTCACAGATTCTCAAATAAATACCTGAGGAGAAAGCCATAGGCCACATTCCAGGGGGTCTGTGAAGCAGTTGCGTAAAACAAAAATTAACCAGTGATTGAAAGCCACATTTTCTATATTGCAGTCCAGTAGCGGTGCACATTACCTCAACTACCAGTCAAAAGTTTGGACACACCTACTCATTCAAGGTTTATTTTGAATTTTTACTATTTTCTACATTGTAGAATAATAGTGAAGACATCAGAACTATGAAATAACACATATGTAATGATGTAGTAACCAAAAAAGTGTTAAACAAATCAATATATATTTTAGATTTTCAAAGTAGCCACCCTTTGCCTTGATGACAGCTTTGCAAACTCAACGCTGACTGGCTATTATTATTTTAATTTTTTTAATCAAGGGTGGCCAAATGCTCGCTGGCTTCCTTTGCATTCAATGCTACGGGCGGCAACAATGTCATACATTTGACCAGACAGCATCAGATAGATGGCCTACACATACAGAGACAGAGGGGTGCTGTTTCGCTCGCTTGGATGCTTTCTCCAGTGAGATACATTCAGCAGCTTGCGAATTGAAAGAAAATTATGAAACACAGAGACGAAAATATATATTATAATTTATTTGTATTTTTTGTGTGTATTTTTTGGGGGGGAAGCATTCCCTTGGCATCCATGAGTACACGCCACTATTGCAGTCTGGCATTGAGTCAGGCATTGATGTGGTTACTGATATGGTAAACATTTATCCAGGCATTCTGAGGTTTGGTGAGTGACTACTATGTAGGCGGCCTGAAATGTGGCCATACTGTTGAGGTCAATGTCACCCTTGTACAGTCCTCTCCCCGCTACACCCTTTACCTCCCCCCTCCCTATTCCTACCCCCGTTCCCGTCCCTGTCCATCACCTGTCTCTGGAAAACTCCCAGCGTGGGTCCTCGGGGAGGTCGTACTCTGGGATGGGGTCGTCGTGGCCGGCCGAGCTGCGTCGTGTGGTGATGCGGACCAATGGGGTGCTGGAGTTCATCGAGGAGCTGGAGTCATTTGACACCTGTAGGAGACGACAGATTGGCTGATCACCTGAGTCTAGATACACTGGTCAAATAAAAAAGGGCGGGGCTAGGCATGTGTGTGTGTTTGTATTACTATAATTGTGAGGACCAAGTGTAGGTGGGTAGGTGTGTGTGTGCACACGTGTGTGTGTGTGATGAAAAAAAATCTCCATTACTAAAGATGAAATGCCTCATTTACATGGGCTTAAAATTATTTATTGATACTGCGCAAATCAACATATTCTCCAAGCTTTTTAAAAAGCATGTTAGTGATCATTAGAGTTGAGCAACAACTCAGTGCTAGAGAGTAACGTTCTATCTGATGAATGTGTCTGTTTATCATGCTGTTGTCATTGTCCTCAGGGCTCTTCTCTCCTTTCCGCTCCAACCTCACCTTGACACTGGAACCACCCATCTCTCGCAGGAATGTAATCCATCACTTTTTGTACCTCTTGGAGTTTGCGTTTTTCCCCTTGAGGGAAAAGCATCACTCACAGAGAGGTAGAGGAGCTAGAGGTGCTGGAGAGCAGTGCTAACATGCTCAGACGCCATGCACTGTAGCTAGCTGTCTTTCAGTGGAGTTAACAGAGGCTTAGCACCTCAAGCAGTGCGATGTATTAGTTACAGTAGTGTTATGAAAATTGCTTCTCCTGAACAGCTAAATTAGCTGGGCTCTTAAATCAGAGTACCAGTAACCCAATTGATCTATGTCGGGGAAACAAATGCGGTGGAACTTTTTGGGTGTTTTCTGCTCTTGCTAGGTAAACCTTGGACTATTTTCTGTTGTTTTTATTTAAGTCTGAGTATATTTGGATTTTCACACTGCTGAACCTGAACCAAGACGACCCAAACCAAGCTGTATTGAGCTAGCCTGGTTACACATCCCCCATAGTAGCTGAACATATCCTAGTCAGTCCAGTTTGGTTTGGGTCGGCACAATAGTGTGAAAATACAATTCTGTATAAATGCATGTTTGCGTGGAGTTTGTCTTTTTATGGGTGTTAAATGCCTTGGAAACCCCTTATCTACTTTCTGTTACCTGGCGACGCAGAGGTATCTGCTTGCTGAGTTTGTGGACCGCCGGCTGGTTCCCAAAGTCAGGCTTCTTAGCCGTATTCCTCATCCGGCACACCAACACGATGACCACCATACAGGCGATCAGGAACACCCCGATGCAGTAGATGGCTATCTCCACGTAGTCAGGTGATGTCAGGCCCGTCACCGTCTCTTCCTTATTGGCTGTTTGGGGAGCAGGGGGAGGGGCAAGGGGAGAGTGTCAGGGAGGGATAGAAAGTGGAACGTAGAGGCACATCCCGACTCATGACAATGTACACACACAAACAAACAGACGTAGGCACACAGACAGACACACAGACACTTAAACAAACAGACATGGACACACTACATCTGATAGACGCACATGTATGAACAGAACACATGCCATGGAAACGACACACACACACGTCATTGCTAGATAGACAAACAAAACATAAATAATGAGAAAGACGCACACACATTTTTTTCTCTCCATCCCCCTCCCTCTACTCCCCCTCTTCTTCACACAACCATCTACTGCCCATCTAGGACAGACAGGAAATGGAATTGATCTAAGAAGAGGGGGTAAACCATATAAATATAATTCTATTTTTACGAGGTAAATACACTGAGCTCAAGCAGGGGCTGTACTAAGTGCCTACATTCAGGGCTACTTGACACACCACACACTCTCTCTCTCTCTCAAATACACACACATGCACGCACACACTCACAAACAAACACACGTTCTCCCTCCCTCCCTCTCTCACACGCACACACACACACACACACACCCTTTGACACACACACACACACACACACACACACACACACACACACACACACACACACACACACACACACACACACACGCTTCACTTCAGACTGCAAACAAGTGAGTGCTGCCCTTTGTGGCGATATATGGCCTGAGCTTCCTGTCTGTAGGAAATGGGTCTGGGTCTGTCTCTGAGTGGCTATAGGACCACAGCCTGTTCCATAATGCATGTCATCCACCCATGGCTACAAACAAGGCCCTTGTAATGTGCAGCCAGGGGGAAATAATAACATGTAGGAACCTTTCTCCAGTCGGCTTTGTATCACCTGGTCCAAAAACCACAGCGCACAGCCGCAACACAGACGGCAGAAGAGCCAAGCAGGTGCCAACAGAGCAGATACATGGGACTAGGGCAATAAATTAAAGATAATTTAATTCCACAAGGAATTAAATAAAATAAAAAATAAATAAATTCACATGTGCCGAATACAACAGGTGTAGACCTTACCGTGAAATGCTTACTTACAAGCACTTAACCAACAATGCAGTTTTAAGAAAAATAAGATTTAAGACACTATTTACTTAATAAACAAAAGTTTTAAAAAAGTAACACAATAAAATAACAATAACGAGGCTATATATACAGGGGGTACCGGTACCGAGTCAGTGTGCGGGGGTACAAGTTAGTCGAGGTAATTGAGGTAATATGTACATGTAGGTAGGGGTAAAGTGACTATGCATAATCATTTTATTTTGTTTAGAGACAAAACAAGGCTATTATCTGCGAGGGCATTGAGGTGCTTTTTGTACCCACTGTCTGTTCAGGTTGTGGGATTACAGGTGATTAAGTGCTATCATCCATCTCATTTAATGTCCAGAGTCCAGACATCTCACCCACCCTACATGAATGTAGATGTATTCATGTTGGCTGACTCTTTTGCCTGAACTGAACCTCTATATAAGGAATGAGCATAAGTGTTTTATCTATATGGACTTTAACTGTGTTTGATATATACAGTGGGGTCCGAAATTATTGATACCCTTGATAAAGATGAGCAAAAATTATTATATAAAATACATAATTGAAACACTGAGCTATATTGTATCCTCCAAAAATTTAGGAAATTCTATTCTTTTATACGAATATAAATGCTTAGAGAAAGATATTTTGTTTAACAAGTAATACTTTTTTTTCTCAAAAAGGTAGGAGTCAAAATGATTGACACCCCTGTTTTTAATACCTTTTAATAGCTCACCCCTCGAGGATAAAGGCTGATTGAGATTTTTTCTAAAATGTTGAAGAACACATTGGGAGGGATCTTAGACCATTACTCCATACAGAATCCTTCCAGATGCTTGATATCCTCCGTCTGAGCTTATGGACTGCCCTCTTCTATTCAAATGACAGGTTTTAAATGGGTTCCAAGTCCAGAGACTGAGATGGCCATTGCAAAATGTTGATTTTGTGGCAAATAACCAGGTTTCCATCCAACCTCTTTATGCGAGTAAGGTATATGTCGGATAAAAAATGTCACGACAGGCCCTGATCGAAATTTGTTGGTAAACTTTCCAAATGTCGACAAAACAAAATACGGTAGGGATCTTTTTGTGTCGGTAAAATGTATTATGTGAGATATGGCAGTGGAAACACCTTTATGCGCAAATATTGATATAATAACCATCTTATCGAACTTGGAGTCACGAGATGATATGGTGTGTGGTTCTCCCACTCGAGAAAGCATGCCGTTTATTATGCTACAGATGAAATAAGTTATGATGAACTTCACAGGGTGGTGAAAGTGCACAGTGCTGAGCTTGATCGATGCTTGGCTGCCGTTTGAAAAATAACCAATAATATTTGGTCCATAATAATCTCATCATGTAGGCTATACATGCAAGCTGTTCTATATAGAGTGCACGTGCCAAGACCATAGTGGGCACATTCGCTATATAACAAATGTTTTTTGTGACAAAACCATCAGTAGAGTTGAAAATGGAAACACATTTAACCTGTATGTTTTATTCGGTACATGGGAATTTAACCGCATAAGTTATTTTTATGTGCACTACGTGATCAAGCACAGCCTTTTACCCGCAACAAGTAAATGGGATGGAAGCACATCTCTGGTGGGAAAATGTGCATATTGTTTTAATGCGTTTTTTTTTTATATTAGCATGAAAACCTGTCGCCAATTGGATGGAAACCTAGCTATAGAACAGTGGAGGCTGCTGAGGGGAGGACGGCTCATAATAATGGCTGGAATGGAATCAATGGAATGGTATCAAATGTGGTTTCCATGTGGTTGATACCATTCCATTGACTCCATTCCAGCCATTATGACCCCTCCTCCCCTCAGCAGCCTCCACTGCTATAGAACAATTTATTTGTGGACTTTGAAGTGTTATTGGGGTTATTGTCTTGCTGGAAGATCCATTTGTGGCCAAGTTTCAGCCTCCTGGGGGATGACACCAGGTATTTGGCTAAAATGTCCTGGTACTGGGTAAAATTCATGATGCCGTTGACCTTAATAAGGGCCCCAACACCAGTGGAAGCAAAATAGCCCCAGATCCACCACCATATTTTACAGTAGGTATGGGGTTATTTTCTGCTCATGCGTTCTCATTTCGAAGCCAAACCCACCACTGGTGTGCGTGGCCAAAGAGCTCTATTTTCATGTCATCCAACGAATGTAAACGCCTGGAGTTTGATAAATGGCATTGGCACTTGGATTGGAACCGGTGCTTTGGTCAGATGGCTTGAAAATAGAGCTCTTTGGCCATGCACACAAGTGGTGGGTTTACCGTCAAAATGAGAATACATAAGCAGAAAATAAAATATATTTCTCTGAGCAATTGTATTAGTATAAAATAATATAATTTGCAACAAATTTTGAGCATACAATATAGCTCAGTATTTGAATTATTTATTTTATACAGTCATTTTTGCAAATCTTTATCAAGGGTGTCAATAATTTTGGACCCCACTGTAAATCTATGGATGTTTGTCAGTGTAGACATGAGGGACACTGACACACACACAGACACACTCGCGCAGACACAGAGAGACACACATTTAAACACACACAGACACACTCACACAGACACAGAGAGACACACATTTAAACACACACAGACACACTCGCGCAGACACAGAGAGACACATATACATTTAAACTAGGGCTGCCAAAGGATAAAATATTTTAATCGAGTTAATCGTATGATTTGTTGTGATTAATCACGATTAATCGCAAATTCAGAATTCGCTCAAATTAAGCTGTAATTTAAGACTGTTTATACAAAAAGCATTACAATAATGACATCTTGATTTTCCCAAAGCAACGGTTAGAAAGTAAATTGATAGAGCACACTTTCTTTAACCTCAATGTCAACTTATTTTGACATCAAATTGTTGTTTTTAGCTGTATAGATTATGTATTTTGGATGTTTTCAGTCAATTTTGAATGCTTTCAGACAAACTGATTAATCACAACAACAACAAAAAATGTGTGCACTAAAATCAAGTTAACTGATTAACTCTGACAGACATAATTTAAACACACACATGCAAACACACACACTATATAAAATATATTGAATACATAATTTTTTTAATGGCCCAGATAATTGAGAAAGTCAAGCTGTGAGTATTGCGGCTGTGACATTCTTTTTTTATTTTGTATTATCTCAAGGAGAAATAATAAAAAGGCAATCAATTATCAGAGCCAGGAAAGAGGTGGAGCCATGAGGGAGTTTGTATTCATTCTCAGGGCATGACAGAGAAGTCACTGACACCGACAGACAGACAGACACTATCATCAAGACAGACAGACACCCTGCTTCTGTAAAAACTTGCAGTCCAAGCCAAAATGTACGTAGCACGAACAGACTTTTCCCGAAAACCAGGAGAGCGAGGGAGGAGGGGGAGGCAAACCCCCTCTTGAGTAAGGAGACACTCGAGCCATTCGGAGAAGTCGGGATATAATAAGCTTTGAGCAAATGTCCCTTTATCTGGCCCCTAGCTTTCAACACGTCACGATAACAAAATATATGTAATACATATTCCTGCTCTAGTATTACTCTGAGTTAGATGTTGAGTTGTTGACTGTGTAAGTTCATCATAGTAATCTGATATTTTGTTATTTCGTTGAGTTTGTGTGTCTTTCACTCCAGAGGGACTTTTCACTTCTCCCTTCTTCCTCCCATAGAAATCATCAAAATAACTTTATTGACCGAACATTTTAGAACCGTTAGTGGACGACATTGAGAGAGAAATAGAGAGAGAGAGAGAGAGAGAGTGAGGGGAAAGGGAGGGCAGTATATGAGTGTATATACCTGGAAGCACCGTCAACCAAGCAGTGTGATAGGAGATCCCAATAGAATTACCCGCCAAGCAGGTATACTCCCCAGCATCCTCGTAAGTGACATTGGGGAGGTAGAGGACTTCAATCTCCTTGTCCGTGGTGTTTACACCTGCGGTCTGGGAGAGGGTTAGGAGTAGGTGTGGAGGAGGATGAAGAGGAGGAGGAGAATGGAGTATGAGAGAGGAGGGGTGGAAGAAGAAAGGGAAGAAGAGGAAGAGAAGGGGCAGGACGATGGGAGTGGGAGAGGAGGGGTGGAGGAGAAAGAAGACGAAGAGAAAGGGATGGAGGATGAGAAAGGGAGGGTGGATGTTAGGAGGATAAATTATATTTAAGGAGTAAGTAGGAAGAAAGTAAGATAAAGGGAAGGAGTGAGAGTAGCAATGGAGGGGAGAAAATAGCAGAGAGGAGAGGAGAGGAGGAAAAGCAGAGGTAACAATTAGACCCACAACACCAGGAGAGAGGAGTAGCTGGATGGTGTCCATCGCTGGGAGGAGAACGGTCGTCCCATCTATAGAGAGAGATAGTAGATGGGAGGAGCTTCCATGGAAGGGGAGGAGCTTCCAGGGAGGGAGGGTCTTCAAAAACAAACAGGAATAGCACCTTGTACCACAAGAAATAATAGCAAACACAATACACCAAAACACGTGATAAAAATACCCTTCACCCACAACACCAGTGCCCAATCGTATCCACTGCATGCCTGGGCATGCACAGTACACACAACCACAGAAGAGGAAGGCATGGAGATCACCCCACTGCAGCACCCAACACTAGCCTGTGCTCTTACACATCACACCATTAATCGAGAGACGGAGGAAGATAGAGACAGCAATGCAGAAGAGAGAGCCCGGTTCCCAGATATAGAGAGTTAGATAGATAGAGAGAACGAGGAGAGCGCGTATTGGAGAGAGACCTAGAGATCCGATATAGAGAGAGAGAGATAGAGAGAGAGAGAGAGGAGAGAGAGAGAGAGAGAGAGAGAGAGGTGTCTGTGATGGACATAGCAGGATAGTGTGAGTGTGCAGGTACAGTGGGCATTTCCATGGCTGTACAGTCACAGTCAGTAGTTACAGTAGAGCAGCTGGGAAAGGATCAGTCAGTCCACAACCCAGCAGGAACCAAGACCACCACACCGAACCGGGCCAGTGACAGGCCCAAAGAGACCACACGGGAGGTGGTCAACAGAGGTCAAGGATCAGGGGTCAGCGGTTACCTGGGATGACCGTCAGCCAGCCCGACTGGTTGACCTCCCCTATATAATTGGAGACTTTACAGGTATACTCTCCGGCGTCCTCCTCAGTAACGTTGGTGAGCGTGAGCACCTCCACGTCCGAGCTATTGATGCCTGAGCGCTGAGGTGTGTGAGCCACACGCACACACACATGCGCGCACGCATGCATACACAAACAACCAAACACACACACACGTACACACATACACGGCAGCAGGGGGACAAAACAAAACACAGGCCTGTTACTATCACATCTGCACCTCAGTGCAGGGAGAGGAGGTTATAGGAGCCGCGCCACCCAGACAGGAACACAGCCAGAGTGTTCCAGTAGTATAGAGGGAAAAGGGGTATTTATTATTCTTCGTAAAGGAGAGAGATTGGATACTATAGGAAGACAGATGGGATACAAAAAAAAATGCTGCTTTTACAAATGGCAAAAAGGTAACCTGAAAACAAAATAATGATTAGCCTACACTTTGAAGAAAAAAAATACGTGGAAAAAAACTGAAAGAGTGTCAATCAGGTAATCAGGTGTCAGAAGAAAGAGGAACCAATCATTTTCGCCGATCAGGTCAAAACAGCCAATGAGGGGCCAGGGAGGGCTGGAACATACCTTTAGGACACGGACGTAGGGGTGTCCGTCTGGGCCGGTGCGACTACCATTCTTCTGGATGTGCTGCAGCCACTGGATGTGGGGCTGAGCATCACTGTACACCTTACACACGAAGCGTGCGTCCTCCCCCACGTGCACACTGGTGTTGGCCGGCAGCCCTGCCTGGAGAATGGGCCTATGAGGGGACCGTTCTAAGATGGAGAGAGAAAAGTGGGAGATGTTTTATGATGAGTTAGTTTGTGCTTGAGACATCGCCATTGGCCATTTCAAACCCCAACCTTGCACCATACACCCATTGGTAAAAGACAGATTTGTATTTCTAATATCAATGACGGCCAATTGATCAACTAAACTAGATCACCACTGGGTACATTGGGAATAAGCATTAGGACACGAGGAAAACGAGCACAGAATACTTGGGGGTGAGGGTTCGGAGGGTTATGGGGGGTGGCATGAGGCTGAGGGGGGCAGATGATAACGGGCAATGGATGGGTTAAAGAAGGAGGGCTTATAAGTGGGGATGGGGTGGCAGAGAAAGGAGAGGAGGGGTGGGAAAATAATAGAGCGAATAAAGGGAGCTCAACAAAGAAAGAAAGAGGGGTGATGTATGTTTGTGACTTGAGTGTTTCTGTGAAATATATGGTTGTTTGCATGTATAGCATGTATCAGGTGTGGATCTATCCATAAATGCATGGATAGCATGGCGACTATGACATACTATCCATATACACTACCAGTCAAACGTTTGGACACAACTACTCATTCAAGGGTTTTTCTTTATTTGTACAATTTTTGACATTGTAGAATAATAGTGAAGACATCAAAAAAAAAAAATGAAATAACACATGGAATCATGTAGTAACAAAAAAGTGTTAAACAAAAGGTTGGCTATGTGAAGAATCTCAAATATAAAATATATTTTGATTTGTTTAACACTTTTTTGGTTACTACATGATTCCATATGTCTTATTTCATAGTTTTGATGTCTTCACTATTATTCTACAATGAAGAAAATAGTAAAAATAAAGAAAAACCCTGAATGTGTCCAAACTTTTGACTGGTACTGTATGTTATAGACACCATGCTATTCATGCATTTATGGAGAGACCAACACCTGACACATACTTTACACACACACACACACACACAAACCCACAAACACACACACATACACGCTCTGCCCTTTTATTATCTTGATCCACTCACCCGAATCAAATCAAAATCAATTTATCAATTTAGTCATTAGTAAAGTATTTATGGCTGCTGGGAGTTGGTAGTTAGGAGTTGAGGAGAGGGACTTCTGTGACATCTAAGCAGCACCACTGAACTCTGTGTAACCTGGCAGCTTGACACGCAGGGCCCTGGGGGTCAGGGAGGGGTTGTTGATTGGAGGGGGATAGGGCCAGACTCGGACCATGGGAAGAGAGTGAAGAAGGAGTGAAAGACAAGTGGAGGGGGCTAGGCATAAACAAAGTGCCCGCGGGGTGACTGGGTACCTCTGTGGGTGAGCAGGCTGGTGGAGGTCAGCGGGTACCATGTGTTGACCTCTCGGAGACGCTCAGTCAGGGCACTGATCTGTGTGTGTGTGTGTGTGTGCGTGTGAGCGTGAGCGTGTGTGCACTGCATGCGTGTGTGCGTGTTTGTCTGGGGGGCCCTCCCCCTGCGCCCATGGAACGTTTCAGCCAGAAAAGGCTGGTCTAGCTTTGTTTTTAATGGCTGATCCTGTTGGTCATTTGTGCCCAAAAGCCTGATAAGAACTGCCTTCCAGACTGTCTCTCCCCCTCCATCTCTCTTTCTGTCTACACCCCTTCTCACACTCTCTTAAAGAGTAAAATGGAGTAAAATGAAGCAAGAGGTTGGGGGGTGGAGTTAGTCTGGAGCCAGACAGAAAAAGGGTTTACTGCTGAGCAATAAAACAGAACAAAAAACAGAAACAGAGAGTCTGAAGGAGAGCTTTAGTTAATCCCAGAGCAGGGGGCCTGGAAGGGGGAGAATATGTGTGTGTGTGTGTGTGTGTGTGTGTGTGTGTGCGCGCGCATCTGGAGGCTACAACAGTGAGGTATTTGAGGGTATTTACACTCAGGATTCCATCTCTTGTCTGATACTGTTGTGAACATTGCCCTTTATTACCATGGAGACACTGACAGAAGGCTAGGGCAAATGAACAGAGGGGGTCAACTCTCCTGAGAGTTGAGCTTTACAACCACATTGACCAACAACAGCCAAGACCTCTGGGAATTAAACCACAAAGTATTGTGCATTGACCTATTGGTTATCAGTAAGGCATTGATGAACAGTGTGGGGTAGTTGCCGCTAGACACTGATCTGTGGTCAGTTTTTCATTTTCTCCACTAATGGTTAAGGTTTGGGGGAGGGAAAGCTGATCCTTGATCTGTACCTAGGGTAAAGGTCACACCGGAAGCTTGATGAACCCTAGAGGACAGAAGTGTGCTGGCGGAGCTTTGATGCCCACTGGCTGTTTGTCTTGTGGCACAGTAAGGCCAACAGGGAGACAGACAGATACCGATTAAAACAGTGGCCAAACGCCCTCACACACACACTAGGGCTGGCACAATTACCATATAACTGTTTAACTGACGGTTATGGATGAAGACTGTCATGAAAATAAAATAACTGTCATAACCAATTGAAGAAAAAAAACTATATATATATATATATATATATATATATATATATATATATATATATATATACACACACACACACACACACACACACTGGGTGTACAAAACATTAGGAACACCTGCTCTTTCCATGACACAAGCTATGTTCGAATACTCATATTAACCGCAAATAGAGTATATAGTATGATTATTGGTCATAGCATGGATATAGTTAGTATGCCAAAAGTTCCCAGATGTCGTACTACATTCGCCAAAATACGAAGTATACAATCAGTGGACACTAGTTCCGTGCTTTTAGAACCCACAATGCAATTCTTCAGAAAATGGGCATGGCTTCACATCGTTTTCAGATTTGAAGAAAATGGAGGAAAATATGGAGCCGAAGTCCAACGAGAGCAGATACAAATTCATTGCTTTAACTAATTATGACAAATGTTAAGAAAATGTTGAGCAATGTAATAAAGTAATGACTTTTGAAATAGGTTACCTTACACATTATGTTGGCTGACAATTTGTTAGCTATGCTATCCTTGCGAACCACATAGCATATCATTCCAGCAGTATGTACCGGTATGTTAGCTAGCTACCTAACGTTAGTTGGCTCCTAATACATCAAACTTGCCAGTATATTAACTACAGTGGGGGAAAAAAGTATTTAGTCAGCCACCAATTGTGCAAGTTCTCCCACTTAAAAAGATGAGAGAGGCCTGTAATTTTCATCATAGGTACACGTCAACTATGACAGGCAAAATGAGAAAATAAATTCCAGAAAATCACATTGTAGGATTTTTTATGAATTTATTTGCAAATTATGGTGGAAAATAAGTATTTGGTCAATAACAAAAGTTTCTCAATACTTTGTTATATACCCTTTGTTGGCAATGACACAGGTCAAACGTTTTCACACACTGTTGCTGGTATTTTGGCCCATTCCTCCATGCAGATCTCCTCTAGAGCAGTGATGTTTTGGGGCTGTCGCTGGGCAACATGGACTTTCAACTCCCTCCAAAGATTTTCTATGGGGTTGAGATCTGGAGACTGGCTAGGCCACTCCAGGACCTTGAAATGCTTCTTACGAAGCCACTCCTTCGTTGCCCGGGCGGTGTGTTTGGGATCATTGTCATGCTGAAAGACCCAGCCACGTTTCATCTTCAATGCCCTTGCTGATGGAAGGAGGTTTTCACTCAAAATCTCACGATACATGGCCCCATTCATACTTTCCTTTACACGGATCAGTCGTCCTGGTCCCTTTGCAGAAAAACAGCCCCAAAGCATGATGTTTCCACCCCCATGCTTCACAGTAGGTATGGTGTTCTTTGGATGCAACTCAGCATTCTTTGTCCTCCAAACACGACGAGTTGAGTTTTTAACCAAAAAGTTCTATTTTGGTTTCATCTGACCATATGACATTCTCCCAATCCTCTTCTGGATCATCCAAATGCACTCTAGCAAACTTCAGACGGGCCTGGACATGTACTGGCTTAAGCAGGGGGACACGTCTGCCACTGCAGGATTTGAGTCCCTGGCGGCGTAGTGTGTTACTGATGGTAGGCTTTGTTACTTTGGTCCCAGCTCTCTGCAGGTCATTCACTAGGTCCCCCCGTGTGGTTCTGGGATTTTTGCTCACCGTTCTTGTGATCATTTTGACCCCACGGGGTGAGATCTTGCGTGGAGCCCCAGATCGAGGGAGATTGTCAGTGGTCTTGTATGTCTTCCATTTCCTAATAATTGCTCCCACAGTTGATTTCTTCAAACCAAGCTGCTTACCTATTGCAGATTCAGTCTTCCCAGCCTGGTGCAGGTCTACAATTTTGTTTCTGGTGTCCTTTGACAGCTCTTTGGTCTTGGCCATAGTGGAGTTTGGAGTGTGACTGTTTGAGGTTGTGGACAGGTGTCTTTTATACTGATAACAAGTTCAAACAGGTGCCATTAATACAGGTAACGAGTGGAGGACAGAGGAGCCTCTTAAAGAAGAAGTTACAAGTCTGTGAGAGCCAGAAATCTTGCTTGTTTGTAGGTGACCAAATACTTATTTTCCTCCATAATTTGCAAATAAATTCATTAAAAATCCTACAATGTGATTTTCTGGAGAAAAAAAAAATCTCAATTTGTCTGTCATAGTTGACGTGTACCTATGATGAAAATTACAGGCCTCTCTCATCTTTTTAAGTGGGAGAACTTGCACAATTGGTGGCTGACTAAATACTTTTTTCCCCCACTGTATATGCTATCTAACTAACTACCCAACGTTTATTGACTTGATTATTTCCGTCATTCTTAGCTAAGTGGTATAGTAGTTGTGCGTTCTCAATGGACATTCGGGTGCTTTCGTAAATTTGCTCTCGGCTATCTACTCCGATTTCAGAGCACTCTTGTCCGAGTGTACCAGAGCGCAGAATAACTGATGAATTTACAAACGCTCAACACCAGTTGAAAATGGCCGGTGTCAGTAAACATCGGCAAAAAAAGCGTAATTAAATTGTTGCCAGCAGAAGTTAGTCACCAATGCTCTGGATAACATGAAAACTGCCTAACCAGCTCTGC